TCTGCCAATCACAAATGGATCTCAACAGCATATATATAAGAACTCAAAATTTAAAATTTTTGACAAAACTGTTCCTTTCTTTTAAAAATTCTAAATAATATCAAGTAGGGTTTGTTTTAATGTTAACATGATTATTATATTTGTGAAAAGCTTGTGTTTTGAGTCTACTTGTTTGAAAAATTTTCTTTATACTGTGAAATCAGATAATTTTTTTGCAAGGCTAAAATTTTGTGAAATAAATTAATAGATTGATTAAACATTTAGGGTTCACCATGTTAAAATGTTTGTGAAAATCAAAAGTGGAGGACACTAGTTTATTGAATTAGGTAATACTTACCATGATTTGATAAAATTTATTGAATTTGCAAATGTAGTAAAAATTTTAAACAACAGAAAGGTAGAATCACATGTTTTGTTTTAAAAAATCAATTCAAATGCAAAAATTAAACTATGATACTGTTGAAATGTCTATTTTTTTTCTATTCACCATATCAGGTTTTACTTGACAATCTGGATCACACCAGACTTTCACCAAAGTGTTTTAAACGCCATCAACTGAGGCGTAAACAGTAGTCACACCTGTACAGATTTTCTTATGACAAGGCTTTATAATTCTAAATAATTCTGAGATTCCTCTTTTTGAGCACACACAACCTAACACTGTGTTGTAATTGTGGCTGTACGTGTGTAAAAAATACTTACCTTTCTTCCAGAAGGTCTTCAAGACTGCTTTGCAAGGAACAGATAAAATTCTCTTCTGCCTTGTAAAAGTGTAGTAACTTCCAAAATTTGTACTCATTAGCCTTAACTAGTTGTTTTAAATATGTTAATTATTGAGAAGAAACTTGTAGCGTAACATGTAGATCCTGACATACCCCCCCAAAATTACATTTTATTGAAGTACCTGTATTTATCCATAATAACTGTTTCTTCCATTACAGATATGCAAGATAGGGGCAAAACAAACTTGAAGATCTTTGATATTTTTTAGCAACTGTCCTTTGTATCTGAACGTTTTACAAAGTAAAGAGTCAATATGTTCATCACACTCTATAACCAACAACTTGCACAAGAAAGAGTAAAAACCCAAAAAAATTGTGGTAGAAATCTAGTCAAATGACTAAAATCTTAAACAAACAACGCCAGTGTTTTTTCCTTTTACAACTGTACCGGAAAACGGGCACCGTTCCCAACAGAAAAAAATAGACAGCAAATTTTCCAATTCAAATGACTGATAAATTCCAAATTTAACACTGAAAATTTCCTCTAAAAACCAGTAATGCATGCCTCGGAGCCTTCCGTATTGATAAGTGATATTACGATAAAAACTAAGTAAAACCACATGAGTGATATTCGTACCCATTCATTTTTCGTACTTAATGTTTCACACCTACTAAACATTATTTATGTACAAATTGTATGATTATCAATTTTTTTTTCAACCTCAAGCAGCAAAAATAATCTTTAAAGTTAATAATACATTGATTTTAAAGTGTATAATTATGCAAAATTTTCATCCACCTCCCTGGATAAAAGAAATTCCCAATAAAATATTTTGCATCTAAAATAAAATTCCCAATTTAAGTTCAAACCGATGGATTTTTTCCCAATCTGTCCGGTACCGTTAACTGTACCAGCACCATTCCCAAAGTAGGGGAAAAAAACACTTTGACTTTCTTGATATTAATTGAATGTTTTATATCTAAATATTATATATAATATAAGCGTTTCTTTACTTGACAACGTGTTCTCGCTTATCCAATCAAAACACGTTGAATGTAAGCATGATATGGTTTCTGTTTTTCTAGCTCATGATGTTAGTTTAAAAGTTTTATTCAGTATGTTTTTGTTTAAATAAAGTTTAAGTAACTAGTTAAAAAATATTTTAAAGTATTCCCTATATAAAATTAATGTTAACTTAGCCTCAATAATCAAATCAAAATTAATGGAATTAAGAATCAAAATCCAGAGAAAGCTGAATAGTTGCACCCTGACAAAGGAACATTTATTATAAATGTGTGATAATAATATAGAACTATATATGTTTATTTGTTCTTTTCATTCTAAAGTTTTATAAAATATTGTGAAAATAAAGAAATTTAGGGGTGTGGGGGTTTATAGGAAATTTCAATCAAAAGGTTTATACAGTTTTTACTGTTTTAAATGACAATTATTAATACCTGCCGCATGCCCATCGTGCTTCCATTACAGGGATATAAAATAACAGGGGACCCAGTCGCAATGGTCCTAACTTTTGGGTAGGGCCCCAGCTTTCTAGAAGAAATGCCTTAAATAACTAATGTAAAATAGTCTGGGCCCCTAGATATAAAAATTGTTAATTTATATACCTGCATTATGATTATCAGACAGGTATAAACATAGTCAAAATCCCATAGCTGATCATTGGACATCATGCGCAATGTCCCTACATCACTAAATGTAAATAAGATTTTACTTCAATTTGTTGTTAGAAAGTGTGTGTGGACAGAAATACTCCTGCCCTGGTGGACCAGTTTGAAAGACAAATTTAAATTATTTTAATCCTTAACAAGGAAACAAACGATACAACTTAAAACTACCCCAAAGTGATTTGAATACAAATCCGTGAAAAAGAACACCAAACAGTTTTTAGTAATTTTTGCACAAACAGAAATAATGACCAATCTAATCACGTAACGTAACAGCATTCCCCACCCACCTGTTTCAATTCGTCTATCGAAGCGAAAATGGACTATATAGTACATAAAACCTAACCATTCACCTGTAAAAACTTTAAAAATATTAACAAATCTATTTAAGCAACTGTTGTACATATCTGTTATGGAAGAAACAACAAAAATGTGGCAAACAATTTCTGGCGGTTTTTGTCGTCTGATCTACAATGTGCTACATCGCCAGGCGCTTTACGGAGATATCAATCGAAGCGTACTCTTTACACGCAAGCATCTGGCTGCTATGATTCGAATTTATTTATTATTAAATATTTTATGTAATTGAATTCATCATAATTTGTTTCTGGATCTAGATATTTTTAATATGGGGATTGTACAAAAATAATTCTAATTATAAAAAAAAATTAATCAATTTCATGTTTTTTGTGCTAAGGGGAAGTAACCGCTGTCAGATTAAACCTTAGTGTTTTCGGCCGAAACACGTGTTTTCAGATTTCCGGATGACAAGTATATACGAATTTTCCGACACAAATGATGTTTTTGTCTCATTATTTTTTATATGTGGCCTATTCACAACACTTGCGTGACTTCAACTCATTCAATAATGTAAAATTATTTAATTATATATTCTAGGTTGTCCTGTGAAAACACCACCGTTTTCTGGGCATCGAGCGGAAAACATGAATAAAACATATGTGTTTTCACTGAAACGTATACAAAACATAAGCATTTTATATGAAAACGTCAGTGTTTTTGTGTGAAACACTGGTAAAACACGTGTAGTGTTCCCAAAATTTACAGTGTATTCATGTATTCTGGTCAATTACATTACCGAGCAACTTGTTTCGGACATTTCTACATATATTTGGACAAATCTGTTGTGACCATCGCACAATACCCGTATCATTTTTAAAATTCTTGCGTTACTTGATAACAACTGTATCTTGAAATATAGAACAATTTCAAATGGCAATTTAAATGGGCATGACAGAGAGCGAAAGAACAACAAAAAACGGCAACATTCCTTTATTAGTGTAATAAAATTTCAAGTGGGAAACATTCAAGATCAGCATACAATAAACAAAAAATTAAGGGCTTTTTGAAGGAAAAAGAAGGGAAAGCGGAACAATACAATATTTCTGTATATATATTTGGACAGATCTAGTGCTACTTTCGCACAATAGCTGTATTATTTTTAAAGTTCTTACTTAATAGTCTTAATATACAATTTGGCAACTGTATCTTGAAACATAGAACAATTTCAAAAGGCCATTCAAAAGGGCATGGCAGAGAGCGAAAGAACAACGAATCAAAAACGGCAACATTCCTTTATTAGTGTAATAAAACTTTGAAGATATACAATAAACAAATTAAGAAAGTGCTATATGAAGGAAAAAGGAGGAAAAACGGAAAAATACAATACAATAAACAAATAAAGAAAGGGCTATATTGTAGTATATTCTTACAGAGGGTATTTCACCCAAACACTTTACTTAACACCTTTCAAGTTAGCTACACTATATATATGCTCATACATGTATATTACCTTTTCCTGTTTTACACAGCATGATATTTACAATGTTTCTGATATAACTTTGTATGAATGTCTTTTTTTTATCTCTAGATATTTGCTTTTCTGCAAATGACATACAAATATACTATGTATGTATATGCAAGTAACAAAAACCCTTCGAGTGGAAAAAACAAATAATCAGATCTTTAATATGAAATAACACGAAAAAAAGTCAAATAAAAGATAACTGTACATTAATGTGATTATCTTTCAATTCATCATTTGGAAACTAATTGTCTATGGGCAGACAGGCGGACATTCAAAACCAAAAGCAAGTTAAGTCCTCCAGACTCATCAGGCGTGTAAAAAACAGCATGCATGTATTCTCAAATGTCAAGATTGAAACTTCAATTACTTAAATTTACTACATTTTTTTCTCCGTCCAATATATATTCCCATGTGTGCCTTGATGTGTTGCTTAAGACTACTCTTTGAAATGAAAATATTGTTACATACATCACATTTAAACGGTTTTTCTCCTGTATGTATTCTTATGTGTTCTGTCAAATAACTTTTTTGACCGAATGTACATCAATTCAGTACATTTAAATGGTTTTTCTCCAGTATGTATTCGCATGTGTTGCTCAAGATTACTCTTTGAGATAAAAGTATTATCACAGACATAACATAAAAATGGTTTTTCTCCAGTATGTTTTCTCATATGTTTTGTCAGATGAATTTTTTGACCAAATGTACTGTAACATTCATCACATTTAAATGGTTTTTCTCCGGTATGTATTTGCATGTGTCGCTTAACCCATTACTTCATGAGCATTTTGTGAAAAATGGCTGTTTTCATTGAAAAGTCTCCCGTTACAAGTTCAAATTGCTATAATACTATAAAAACTGCTTCAACACTAATCAAACTTGGCACAAATGTTGACTGGACCATTGCCCTTGCAACAACATGCTCAGGCTTAAATTTTCTGTTACCATGGCAACGAGGGGACATCTCAAAATTGCCAAAAATCACTATTTTGCGTTGATTTTTCCATCAAAATTGATTTCAAAGTGCTGCAACTTCTCAATGGATTGAGATAGAGTCAAATGCTTTTCAGCGTTGGTTACACGTTACCTTATGATCAATCTGGGGTCATTTACAGCCTCTCACAAGTCCAAAATTTTTCTTGGCGATGAGGGGGACTCCGCCCCCCTTCAAACAGAAGGGGGCACATCCCCCTTCTGGCAACCCCCTGATGTATCTTTTGGTTGGGGGGCCGCGCCGAAAAAGAGGTCACTTTTTTTAACAACATTTCTCAAACAAAAACAAGTGTTTGGGGCCTAAATAAGGCATTTTTTCATCATTTGAGACAACAAAAAGGGGGGGGGGGGGTGAAAGAGGCGTTAAAAGGCGTGTATATGAAGTAATGGGTTAAGATTACTCTTTGAAATGAAAGCTTTTTTACATACATAACATAAAAATGGTTTTTCACCAATATGTTTTCTCATATGTTCTGTCAGACGAATTTTTAAACCAAATGTGCTATTACATTCATCACATTTAAACGGTTTTTCTCCGGTATGTATTTGCATGTGTCGCTTAAGATTACTCTTTGAAATGAAAGCACTATTACAAATATCACATGTATATGGTTTTTCTCCTGTATGTATTTTCATGTGTTCTGTCAGATACCGTTTTTGATTGAATGTACCATAACATTCATTACATTGAAATGGCTTTTCTCCAGTATGTATTCTCGCATGAGTATTAAGATTACCTTTTTGACTAAAAGTGCTATTACATTCATCACACTTATATGGTTTTTCTCCTGTATGTTTTCTCATGTGTTTCTTTTGATAACACTTTTGGCTAAATGAACTATCACACACATCACATTTGTAAGGTTTTTCTCCAGTATGTATTGTCAGGTGTTGCTTTAGACCACCCTTTTTTGTGAATGTACCATCACAAAAGTTACATTGAAATAATTGTTTTTCTCGGGTATGTTGTTGCCTCATGTGTCTCTTTAGGTCACTCATCCTGCTAAATTTGATATCACACAACTTGCACGTAAATAATTTTTCTCCATTGTGCATTTTTCACTTGTTTTGAAATAGATCAAAATATCATATAAAGTCCTGAAAAAAAATGCAAAGCATTAAATACACTGAAGGCATAACTGGATTTAGATCATGACAAAACTTAACAAGTGACATATCTGGGCGAGGGCAACGCATGACTTTTTTTATAAACAAAGAAATAAATGATTTAAACAAATCTTAAAAAAGAATATTAAAGAAAAAGCTTGTTTTCCCCCTTGTTATAATAGGTTTGTCCAGTCACACTTGTTATATTATCCAAATATGAGTTATTTCCCTAAATATTATAAAATGAAAAAGTTACCGCAAGATGATTGCATTTGTAAAGAAGATTGCATTTATCACTGTTTATGAAAAATCCTATGCCAGTTTGCCACCGCATTAATACAACACTAAATGAAGTGCAGGAACAGATTTTTTGTGTATATTTAGAGGAAAAGTATGTTTACTATCTACAAAGATTATCACGTAAAGGAATCAGTAAAAAAATCCTTACCATTTCAGCTCAACTTAATGGCGGGTTACTTTCAAAGGGCAGTCACTCATTTATGAATGACAATTCGTCCCCTTGCCAACTCGCTTTTTTTGTTTGTTTATTCGTCACTTCACTTTAATTCCACAACATGGACTTTTGGAACCACTGATAAGACTTTGCCACCAGTATGCACCCAGGCCAGTTTGTACCTTCATGCAGTGGTATAAAGAGGAAGGTCTGAAATACAACGAATAATTACGTTGAAATTATTTTGTATCAGACATTAATTTAGCAAACCACGAAAGAATAATATATGGAAGTTGTTGGTAAACTTGCGTGAGATACGTACATGCTCGGATATTACATATACTTATATAACAAATAATATAATGTTCTAGAAATAAACATCAATAAATGTTCATTCAAAATCATTTTGATCTTAATCAACACTTTTTTTTTCAATAAACTTTTTAAAGAAAATGAAACGGATACATGTACATCTCTATGTATTTTAACAATTCATTTGTATTTAAAAATAAAATTGCCCTTTTAGTCCTATCTGCTTTAAAAAAATTGTCTTTACTGTTCAAGACAAAATTATGGAATCAACATACTTTTACCGTTAATACCTTTTTTATGCCCCAACAAAATGGGGAGCATATAGCGTTGCACTTGTCCGTCCGTACGTCTGTCCGTCCGCACTCACAGGACAGTAATTATGTGGCTAGAGGGATAATAGGTAACTGTTCTTTCTCTTTGATGTCATCCATTCCGTAATGCTTTTATGTGGCTATTTTCTTTTATGTGGCGAAAAAGAACAATAGAGACAACAATAGAGTAGCCACGTAATTACTGTCCTGTGAGAACATCTGTACGTCTGTCCGTACGTCCCGAAATCTTGTGAAAACGCAACTCCTCTTAAACCGGATGGCAGATTTTGCTTAAACTTCCAGGGATGAACAACCTTAATGTGTAGATGGAAGTAAAGGAAGGAATTTTCGCTGCGACCAAATTTAACAGAATTATGGCTCTTTGTTGATTTTTTCACTATATACCATATAGAAATTTTGTGAACGCAACTCCTCTTAATCCGGATGGCAGATTTTGCTTAAACTTCCAGGGATGAACTACCTAAATGTGTAGATGGAAGTTAAGGAAGGAATTTTTGCTGCGACCAAATTTAACAGAATTATGGCCCTTTGTTGATTTTTTCACTATAAACCATATATATGTTGTCAGTGGGGGCATCCGTGTCCTTTGGACACAGTTCTAGTTTATATAAACATTGCATGAGGTGTATTTTTAAAATACACACTTTAAACATCTCCTTCCGGTCTTTGAAAAAAATGACGATTTGAAAATTATGTTGATTCGAGACGGCTTTTCCGAATTATGCAGCGAATTCAATCACGCCCGGCGTCATTTTCACCTAGAAGTTAAGTTCAGCAAAAAAAAAATGTTGATGCATGATTCATGATGGTTTCTAGATTTCAAATTCCACCATATACATGCTTTGACCAGAATGGGCACTGTATAGCAGGATAATAATTACTTTTATCTTGAAAAAAGGATAACTTTCAGCAATTATAACACTTCATATACGTCTGAATAAACCATCAGTGCTAACATATTTTATATTTTTCTTAAATAAATTTACCAGTGCATTTTGGACACATTACGTCTTCCTTCAAAGATGGAAATTCGTCATATGACCTAAACTGTGTTGGAATGACGTACATGTAATCATTCTCCTAGACACCCTGTACTGTATTGAAAACTCAATATAAACATTCTATTCTAAGATTTATTTACAAGAGTATTCACAGAGATGTTGCTACATTGCATGTGTAATCTAAACTGTCTATCAAAGAGGGCTCAGAGAGAGAGAGTTCTCAGAGTGTGCATATTTAATCAAGTAGGCGGAACTAATCTCTAAATACTAACAACACTACATCTCCGCCTTGCTTAGGTTTAAAGTTCACTGGTCAGTCCTAATGAAGGACATTAATTATTTGTCTGACAGTAATGTTATTGTCTCAGATATCCAATGATTCACAGGTGTTTATTTCACGCTGGCGCTGCCACTATAAGTTAATGATTATTTTATATCCAGTAATGATAGTCTCTTGATTGCTATCACATTTAATCTCAGTTTATGTTCTAGAGGCAATAAGTCTAGAAAGTTACTGACTGTCCGTAGTCCAATAAATTAACTTAATGTCTAAACTGTGTTGAGTAAATTTTCAATGTTTACAGAATACAAACAGGTTTTATCAGCATGAAATAAAACAAATTAGAATAAAGATTGAAGATAGAATCTAAATGATACACAATTAGTTTAAGTATCAAAATGCCAATTGAATGTTTCATTTATACTTGTATTCCATTTTCCTCTGGAGATTTAAGCACATAGTAAAGAATTGTATGATTATCAGCAGTTATATTAAATCCCTGTTTTGAATGTTTGTGCACACCGACAGTTAAAATAATCGAACTCATTTGTTTGAATGAATGTTCCTCTTAAGTTGAAGCTAACTTTTAGTGGATTATTATGCCACTGTTTAACACTGTTTACACATTTATTCTTCTAAATAGTCATATATATACAGGTGGTTTTCACTCATTTAGCTAACTTTTAGTGGATTATTATGCCACTGTTTAACACTATTGCCACTGCTTAACACTATTTACACATATAATCTTTTAAATAGTCAGGTGGTTTTCTGTGCCTTTCAGATCTTCGCAAAGAAGTATACTCATTTGATGTAGGTAAAGTTTCAAACATTGTGCTTGCATCGGATTGTGATTCTATGCTCGTTTCGTTGTAAATTGGTTCTGTATTGCTGTGTTCACCCTCGATATTTAAAGGAGAATTTCCATTTAGACTTTGGGTCTGAGAGTTGCCGACACGTTTAAAATGTGATGAATTTCTAGTGATTTGTTTGTCTTCTCGCTCTGCCGTTATCATTGATCCTTTTTTCTTGGTTACTTCATACGGTTTAGGGTCGTATGGAGTTGTGAGTTTGTTTTGTTTGGTTTGCTTTACTAACACACTGTCGCCTATTTTAACTTCAGTTTTTCGAGTGTTTCTTCGTTTATCAGCATATTCTTTCATTTTTTTGTTTTGATTGTCTGTCATTTTCTCTGGCCTTTATGTCCTTTTTAGATTTCTTTTGTTTTTGAACCATGGGAATTTTGATGTTAATAGGCCTTCCGTAGAACAATTGTGCAGGAGTTTCGGCCGTTGTCCCATGTGGTGTAGATCTATAATTCCTTAAAAATGCATACATGTCTTGTTTCCAGTTTGTATGGTGCACATGAGAAGCTCGTATTGACTTGCCTATGGTTTTCATGAATCGCTCACATTCAGCATTTGCTTGTGGCCATAATGGGGTTATTTTCCTATGTTTTGAAGCCCATGTGTTTTGCAAAACTTTTAAATAGGTGAGAGTTCATAGGACTGCCGTTGTCTGACTTGAGAATTTCAGGAATTCCGGTTTCTGAGAATATTTTGTCCAGCACAGGGATCACTGTATTTCCTGTTATGGAATTTAAGACTTCTACGAAAGGAAAACGTGAATATTCGTCAATTAGTACAAGCAGATATTTTCCATCTGGAAATGGGCCACAAAAATCCAAACTAATCATTTGAAATGGGTATTTTGGCATATCACTCATGTTTAAAGGTTCATGCTGCTTTGAATTTGTTGCTGCTAAGCACGGAATGCAGCTTTTGCACATATTTTCAACTTGTTGATCCATGCCTGGGAAGTACACTTTCTCTCTTAAAAGTTGTTTGGTTTTAACAATTCCCTGATGACCTTTATGAGCTTATGATATCGCTTTATCTTGCAACTGCCTAATATAACAATTTTTGATTCATGCAGTAAGATTTCACCTCCCTGGAGATTTACTACCGATAATTCATTCTTACAGCGAGAGAACGTATCAAATACTTTATTTCTATTGGTGTTGCTCCAACAACCCGTCTTTATGGATTTAATGGCCATTTGATGGTCATTGTCCGTAGAAGTTGCCTGAATAATTTCATTCATGTTCATTGCAACAGGTACATCATGATATGCAAGAAAACTTACATATTCTTCAGCTATGCTTGATTTGCTGCCTTGTCCTATGTCTGGATGTCTGCTTAGATAATCTGACATGTTTGACTCTCCAGGTTTATGCACGATCCTGAAGTCTTATGATAACAGTTGCATTCTCATACGTTCAAGTTTTGCAGATCCAAGTTTTGATTTAGTATTACTGTAGATATTCTCAAGGAATTTTGCATCAGTTATGACTGTGAATTTATGTCCAAATAAGTATATGTGCCAATGTTCT